CATAAAGCCATTTTAATAGCAAGTTCAATTATATAACATAGTACGGGAACACTGTTCGAAGTGTTTTCGGAGCGCGAGCATTGAAGATGCCAAGTGAGATTTTGGCGAAACGTCTGCAGGATTCCAGTCGGATGCAGGATTTGCAGGATTCCAGTCGGAGTTCAACGAGCGAACGGACCCGGAATATAGTGTCATCACATTTTTCCATCCGTGAATCAATACGTGAGGATATATATATATATATATATATATATATATATATATATATATATATATATATATATATATATATATATATATATATATATATATATATATATATATATAAGCGTATTTTTTCGGACTACCACTATTTTCTATTTATTTTATTAAGTTGCATTTTTGTTTAGTCTATTTTGTATAATAAGGGGGATGATACATCGCCAATAACAAAAGTCTGGCAAATACCGCGTATTTTAAGAAAATATTTTAAATTTGATCATTGCCTAAAGAAAAGCATTATTTTCGTAAAAAAAATAGATGGAAAAAAGTTTAAAAAGTTAATAAGCAACCCAGCAATGACGGTTTAAACATAACCCGAATTCTGAAGATGATCACTAATAAGTTCGAAACGGTGCATCACAGACCTATACTTGTAACCCTCGTAGCTTTCGATATAATGTATAGACCTCTCTTAACCGGCTACCCTGTACATGATTTAGATATTTATATACCTATTGTCAGTTTTGACGCAAATAGCTCATATTAAAAATAAAAAAGAATAAACTTAAGTAGATATCTGTTTTAAACAAATTTTGGTTTAAGTAAGAGCAGGTTTTTAAATAGCTTTTTTTGACACAATACAATCGATATATTTGCTATGAAAATTCTAGGATTGATATGATTACGGTATCATTAATAAGAACGTCTAGGTTGGGGTTGCCTTCAGTGGGTACGTAAAACAAAATCTAGATTTCTTAGGCCTCTTATTACAATATTTTCAACATGTGCTTCAAATGTTAAGTTTGAGTCTGAGTAATTTTTAAGTTTTGCATTGTCTTATTTCTTAATATACATGTTTAGTTTTGGTTAATTTTGTGACGATTTTTTTTTTGTAGACGAATTGTAATTGGAATTTATTTCTTTGTCATATACGTTAGTACTAATCTAAGTAGTGTAATAAAGGAAGGTTTATATTAATATTTCAGTTTTCTACTTCTCTTAAGTGCAAATCGTTTGCTAGAGTGTACTTTGCGAAATCATTTTAATCTTTTTTCCTTCTCTGAACCTAGCGGTTGTGATACCTTTTGAACTATGTATACCTATTGCATATCACATGATCTGATTTTTGTACATAAATAAATAATAGCTCATCTAGTTGTTATATAAACAAGATAAACAAATATAGTTAAATAAATGATGTAAATGTAATTAAGAAATTGTTAATAATAATCTATTCTTGTGAGTATTATTTAGAAATAAAAATTAAATCAGTATTTTGGAATTCTTTACCTAATGATTAAAAAATATATAAATAAAAAGGAAATTGTACATTTTGCTATTTCCTGACCAATAAGCTTTTTTGAATGTTTCAAAGATTTTTTTTTTTGAATTTCTAAGTTAGCAATTCCTAAGCACTCTTTTCGGAGGTTTCCTAAGGAATTAGATAATAATAAATTTTTAATAAAGCCCTCACGTAGAGTAATCATCAAGGAAAGAGCAAAATGATTGCGATTTGGTTTTCTTCTGGTCTCTCTCTCTCTCTCTCTCTCTTTCTCCCTCGCAGAAGAAAAATTAGAGTCGTTAGTTTGAACTGCTTTTGGCACCCGTGAATTCTGAAACGCTGAAAATAACATCGATCATCGAAAAGTTCTTCGGTAACGGTAATTTGGTCGACGGCGTCAACTTGAAAACAAACTTAACACCATCGCGAGTTTGTCTTCGAGAAATTAGGACGCGACATTGACCTCGATATCTCGGAAGTGACCTCTAAGGAAAGTACGCTCTTAATTTTATGCCGCTCGTGGCAGCAGCAGGCGGCGTCACTAATAATTATTATAACGTATTCGAACTAGTCGGGCTGGTGCAAATTTTACTCGTCGATTGATACACTTTTACCTTTCTCTTTGAACCTAATAAACAGCGATTTGGTATTCAATTGGCTTTACCTCTGTAATTAGCGGAAATGAGATTCACTTAGAAAAGGGGAATTTCAAATTTCTTATAAATTCAACATTGCCGCTAAAAAGAAACACTACCTTACCCAGAATGGATTTGGTTCTTTTATTTTTATAATGTTGCAAATACTGTAACAAAAACATTTTTTCCTCAATACTGTGAACGAGAAATCCAAAAAAGTGCAATGACTTCAGATTTATCGTATCTCATTTACTCAGAATATTCCAGATTCGAATATGCGGAAAATATGGATATGATATTGAGGGCCAACAATTCGGTTTTAGGAAGAGCATGACAAAAAAAAATAGCTACGGCAAGAACGAAATGAGGAAGAACGAGGCGGGTAGCAATATTAAAAGGGCGGGTCAAGGGTGTAAGTTGACTCCGCTGACTCTTAAATGATAGCAAGCAAGGTATCAAATAAATGGGGGGGATCTTAAAGAGTGAAAAGTAACCCTTGCTTCAAAAACAAATAGATTTCGTAAGATTAAAGTTATGGTTACTTACAAGAAGGGGTACAACAAGTAGCCAAATTCCAGTATATTTGGAGGTACAAGATGTAGAGGATAAAGCCAGAAACGAATATATCGATTGCACTTTTCGCAAAATGAAGCACTTAAAGTGTGTAGACTGTAGAGCTAAATAGAATAGAATCTTGGACCCTGAAACTGATAGCCACGAAGAGACAGAGAATGTTTCGAATGGATTCTTATTACGAATTCTCAGAAACTGTAAATACTACCTACTATAACTAATCAAAAATAAAATTGAAAGGAAGGCAATTGCTTGCAGAAGAAGGATGTTTTGGCTAAAAAATATCCAAGAATGGGGTGGAACGATCATTCAACACTCGCCAGATCCGCAGGAAGACAGGAAGAATTTGCTGTAGTTGGGGCCAATCTTCTATGAGAAAAAGAAGATAGTATTTCTATTTGTGTGTGTGTGTGTGTGTGTGTTCTGACAGCGACGTAGCGCATCTCTACTTACTAAAACTAATGGTCGTGGAAGAAATGTAGTACGATAAGTTAAACTAAATAAACAAAACAATTTGAAAATTTCAAAATGATAATCAGAGATTATCTACAAAATGGCCGAACAATAAAAAAAGAGCTATAGAGAAGATGTACGGTAAAAAAAAATCACACACTTTTAGCAGTAATAACATTCTTTTATTGCAATTATGAAAAGAAAACAGGCCAATTTTTTTTTATTGTTGATTCTTTTCTAAATTATTCTTCCTGTCTTTAGACTTTAGACCAAAGCGATTTGGACCGAAAAATTTAATGATTTGAATAATCCAAATTTCTGAACCCAATCATGATTATGTATTGTAAAACCCAATGATTATTATTACAAAGTTCAACAACTCATTCGATTCGATTTCTTCCATATAACCCATCCATAAAATCGCAGTCCTTTTCTGTTTTGCTTTTGAGCTCGTCATTTTATAATATTCACCCAAAGCAACCAGAAAATTGTTAATCCTTCGCGCGTTACAATGAAAATTTCGAGAGATTGGTGATTTTCCCGGCAGCATCGAAAATTATTTTTGAAATTTCGCAACGAAGGTTATTAGTCACGTTTCGGGGAATTCGTGTTGTAAAGCAAAACTTAATTACACTGTATCGATTTATGGTCTACCCTTTAGGGAGGATTTGCGAAAAACAAGAGCTTAGTCCTTGGTTATTCTTTTTCAAATAACGGGGGTCTTATCCGCACGTGGTCAAAGATATAACCAGGGTAGAAATTACTTCGGCAAATGGAACGAGATTACCTTATCATTTAAAAGAAAATTTAACTTAGCGAAAAATTGGACAAAATTGGAATAATTCTTCTTCTTTTAAGTAATGATAAAGTCTACCAAGTACAACTGGACCGCACAGATGAAGCAATGGTTTCAGGAAATTTTACCGTTGGAAAATCTTGCTCAATACTTGCTTACTTAATTACATAACTACTATTTTCTACAGAACACTGACTCACTCAGGGTCCACCTCAATTTATCTATTTCAAACTACACCATATATAACTGGCAACTAAGAATGATCAACATTTTTTTGTGACATTTTTGCATATATGTAGTGTACAATTTTCTACGATGCGATAAATTACGTCATATTCTATTTGAATGTCTGTTGTATTGTAACTAAAATAATAATTAACTCTTTTCCAACGCAGATCGCTTTTAAATAAATTTATAATCCGCAAAAATCATAGTTCGCACTACAAATCTCCTTTACTAGCCTTCATTACTTTCAGTTTTAGATATTCCATAATTCTTATTGTTTTTCTTTGAGTAGTAGTTGTATCTTTTTCTGTATTAAGTATATATGAGGCTTGGGTGTAGTTTTTAATAAAAACAAATCCGCCTAATTTGTGTTATATACGTATATGACCTGTTTCAAACCATGTACGTGTACAGTAATCAATAAATATTATTATTATTATTATTAATATTATTATTATTATTTAATGGATTTCTCAGTCCTCGCTCCTTCCCTGTTTCGGCATTGGCTGCAAGAAGTGGGTAAGTTTTAGGTTATTTTGAACATGTTTAGATGTTTAGTTGTGGGGGTCGTTAAGTACGCGTCTGACAATTCCGATGGATCCAATGGGAGTTATTTTTTGTTGTTAGTGGCATATCTGTTCTCTAATGTTGAGCTTTTTTAGGTTTTCGATCAATCTATATGATATTTCTCCGGTTGCGCCTATAATAATTGGTACTGCAATGACTCTTTCTTGGTTCAACATATCTTTTATTTCATTGGCAAGAGGTAACTACTTACTAATTTTCTCGTCGTGCTTTTTTTGCAGGTTTGTGGCGAGTGGGACGGAGAAGTCAATCAGATAAGTCTGTTTGTTTTTTTTTCGGTAAACACCAAGTCTGCTCTATTATGTTGCAGAGGTAGATCAGTTATTATTTCTCTGTTCCAGTACATTTTGTAGTTTTCCGTTTCAACTACACTTTTTGGATTGTATTTATAGTGTAGTATTGTGTCCTTCGTTTCTGTGTCGTGTAGTTTCAAGAGTTCTTGATGTATTACTTTGCCAATGTTGTAATGTCGTTTGGTGTATTCCTTTGGGGCAAGAGTTGGACATCCCCTTATTATGTGGTCGATCGATTCAGTTTGTTCTCTGCACATTCCACAATATGAATCATCAGTGTAATTTGCCGGTAACCCAATTGTTTCCTGTTTGGTAGGTTAATCATTCACATAGATATAAAATAAAGTTGCGGAGCGTCCCTCCGTAAATAAATGCTGTTTCTGATGCCCTCGATTCCAATAACTTGTTTCGAGGTATGATTTTAAGCATTTACGTAAAAGTATCAAAATTCCAAATTTATTATTGAACGCTTCATTGTCTAATCCTGCTTGAGTAGACCATTATTTAAGTTATTATATTCAAGATAGCAATTATGCTTTTTATTAAAGCATCTTTCAAAAACTGTCACAAAGTGGGTTTCGACTAACATAAATAAATAAATCTCCCTTTCTCAACAGATTCAACAATTTAGGTTATATAGTATTTCGAGATATTCTTTTCGATATAATCACTGGGAAAACTAAAGAAAACAAGAAATAAATCAATGAAAACAAGGCCAATAAAAATTATTTGTCAAATAAGTTGAGGAAAGTAACAAATTTTTTAGGCAAAAAAAAAGAAAATAATAATGAAAGTGTAATATACAATTTAGGTTCTTTTCATAGTAATATAACCTTCTGGTTTTGTACTTAAATGTTGTAAAATTATTCATATTTTTTATGTGGTGGGGATTCACAAAAGAATTGGAATTAATTGAGAAAAGAACATTAAACTTCGTTTTGTCTTTGACTTCGTTACCACCCGTTTCAGATTGATGAGTTTTGTCCAGTCAAGTGTAAACTGATTTAATACTTATAATTTTGTAATTTATTTTCCTATTAGTGTAGCGTCTAAAATAATGTGAAAGAAACAAATTGATTGAAAAGTCTGTTCATTTTCAAGTTTACATGTTTTCGTTTTTTAATTTATTTTTGTTGTGGAAATAGAGCTTTTTAATTATGTATACTTTATAGATATATACTTTATTAGTTATTGAACATGAATTGGCTCTAATATTGACTCGCTGGTATTAATAAATTACAGTCAAAATATATTCCCATGCCTACCGGCTTAGTATATTTAATGTGCAGTCTAGTTTTGATTATATATTATTTCATTGGCTCCTAATTGTACGCTTCATTGGCCTAGCGGTTTTCGCCTCGGAAAAATACCGAGGGAGAGATTCAAAGAATATAATTAAGAAATCTATTAGGCAGTTGAAATGGCCGCAATTTTTAAAGCGACCCCGAAAATTTCATTAAAACAGCGGGATAAACTGGTTACCGTTCCCGAGCGCCTCGATCTTTGGAACCAAATGGATTTAAAACGTAATGAGTTTGGATTTGAGTATTAGACGAGGCCGGCCGATCGGCAATTTTTATTCGAGTTTTATCACGTAATTCCAAATGAAAGTCATTGGAATTCTGTACGGCTCCATTTCAGTTCCGCCTCCGAATCGAACGTTTTTTTTTTTTTCACTTACGAGAAATTTCGCCACGTTGCTTAAGGAATGAATAAAAAATACTTTAGAACTCCCGAACTAGCTGCCTTAACTGGGAGGTTATGTGCATTTGCCTTTTACAGTTACAACAAAAATTTTTGTACTAAATATTTGAAGCATTTGAAAATGAAAATTGTGGTCTTTAAGTAAAAGAACAGAAAACTCATGTCAAATATTTATTGCCACAAGAGCATACAAAAAAATTACTTTTGCAGTCTTCATTCCCTAATGAAGTTTGTTTTATTGAACCTGTACGTTTGCCTCGCTGTCTGCAGAAAGAGTCCTCGAGCGTGATCGGACACGACTCTTCCCTCCTAACGGAGACGATGACCTGGAGCGACATCTGGACCTGGGAGGTGATTGGGATACTGAATCTTGCTGCCTCCTGCTACCGAATATTGATCTCCTCCTTAGCCTTAACCAGAAATTAAAATTATTAGTGGTCTACTAAAAACATTATCATTTACTTTCCATTGTATACCGTGTCCCAAAGTATATCGTCATTTGACGACATAAAGCGGGACAGACCATCAGAGACTTTTAAGGTATTTTAAGATTAAATATTATATTACTAATAAAAAATACGATTGTATTAAATATAATCATTCGGGGTAATGTATGAAATGTGATGTATATGACATTGTTTTATGGACTTAACATTTTCAAAAGTTGCTTATTAACTATTGTGCAGAAGGTGATATTGTTTTTTGTTCATTCAATAATTCACTGTTAACAATATCATTTGCCGAAGGCATTAGCGTTCTTGGAAGTGGGCAGATTTATTTTAAAGCTTCGTTATTATTATTAAACATTTATACAAATTTCACGCTTTGTTTTGGTTTTGGAAAAGTTAGTGATAGGTTGTCCCTTATCCATGATTAAATTACTGGTTGTTGATTTTACGCATGATATACTTTAGGACATACTATACCTTCACAGGAAAGTCCGTGACTAAGGAGTATAGTTTTTTTTGTAAAGACTTCCATTAAAGATTTTAAAGGACTAACGGAGAAACGTTTCCCAACCCAGTGTTGTTCTGGAGGCGGAGACGGAGACGGTGTCTATTGCTTCCATCAAAGAAGGCTTAAAACCTCGAAATCGGTCAGGAGTCTTTGATTAAGAGTCTTTGAGTTGAAACTAATACAACAATACAATTTTTGCTTATGCTGAACTATAGCGTGTGGTGGAGCAGACCGCTTATCTCAATTGGTTCTCCTACTATATATGACAAGATGAGTACAAACATAAAAAGATTTCTAATGATATTATAAAAATACTGCTATAGAAGGAAAAAAATGCTAAAAGAGCTGATGACGAAGAACCTAGTTGAGAAAAATATTATAACGTAGGTTGAGAAAGCAAAATTGACAAATTGACCACAATGAGCGTGGAAACCAATATCAAGCCTATTCTGAGGCCGTCCTAAGAAATAAATACATTAGAAAACACCCAACATAAGCCCATTACATTTCGCAGCAATTTACCAGGAATAATTATCAAGCCTTAAGATAAACAGGATAGCAGACGGACTCGGCGTGATATTCACACAAAGATCAAACCAGAATAGTTCTTAAATTTCCTTCAAGATTTAATTGTCACGCTGGATTACTTTGTGGCTTTCACAACACAATTGTTTTTTGCCTGCACACTGCATAAAGTATCTTATCAATTTGAATTTCTATATTTCTATTCGGCAAGATATCTTCGATAGTGTATATTATACATACATTATTTTACCTTTCAAGTTTCTAGTATCCCACATTCGATCCCTGGTAATAACATTTATCTTACCTGGACTGTCTTCCATTTGAGGAACAATCATCAATGTCTCTCAAGATGTCTTTCATGTCCAAAACAAAATCCCCCAACAATTTGGACCCAGTATCCGGATCCAAGGGATAAGTTGCTGCATATCTGTTGCGGATGAAACGAGTGAGTCCCCTACGTCGACGCTTATCGGTTGCGACCTCCACCGTGACTCTGTTGCCGAGAAGCCTTTCACCGTCCAATTCAAACGCCGCGTGTTCCGCATCCCGATAATCGTAGAAGTCGACAAAACAATGGTCGTCGTGAAGACTCACATCCCGTATTTTGCCGAACGTTTTGAAAAACCTTAGCACATCCGGTATTCTGGTGTAAGGCGAAAGTCCGCTTACGTATACCCGGGAGTTCATGTTTACAATTAAAATCCTAGGCCCAAATTTACTGCAATATAAAGGAATTGGTGTACTTAACGTTGATGACTTCGGAGAGCTTAGAAATGAAATTAAATGGTCATTAAATATTCTCGGGAGACGATTAAATAATCCTAGAATCAGGTCCCGTTTACAATAAAATTACCTGCTATATTTTATTGAACATTTCACAAAATACTCATTCCGAATAATTAGGTGATGGTCCTGGACTTAAGGAGTTTAAAATATAATTCTTGACTTTCGCTAGGTAAAAATTATTAGGTTTGTATATTTATTCTAACTGTTTAATACGTTTGATAGAATATTATGCAACAAGTTTGAACTTGTTACTGACGAAAAATCGAATTTTTATTATATTTTATTTTATCTACGCTCGTATAAAAATTTTATATGTCGGTAACGGTAGGATCTCCGTTCTCGTCTTTTGGTTTATCCTGAATAAGTTTTTAACCGTTGGAGCTACAAAATTAAAATTTGCCTCATTTTTAACCCTCCACGAGATGCATAAATTTGTATGAAATGGCCTCGATCCGAGCCCGGCATCCATCTTTTTTTCGCGATTTTCTACTGTTTTTTGAACATCGCTATGAAACACGACAAGTGTCCGAAATTTCAAGCAATCGACTTCATATTTGGCACATATATGCCCTGTGACGGAACCTATTAAAAATGGGGGGGTCGGAAAGTATTTTAAAAAATTAAGAATCGGGTGCGCAAGGGTCTACAAAAAAGACCATTTTTAAAAAACCGTTTACAATACCGAAAAAATTCTTGAGGCAGATGATAAGGCTCCATAAACTCTTATTCTTGAAAATTTTTCGAAAATATGGGCCGCAAATTCAAAAGCTTTTAAAATTGATCCCCCTATTATTTGAAACTGGCAATAATTTCAAATCTGTGTTATAGATGCCAGTTTCTTCTAAATAATGATATAGCCCATATAGATAGCTTTTGTATTTAAGGTTTTTAAGTCTTGTACAGAGTGTTCGCGATATTTTGTGCAATATTAAAAAACATAATAAGTGCCCCAAATTTGCAGCTACCGACTTCAGACATAGGCAGAAGTAGAAGTCTGGACCTGCATTTAGACTCTTGAAATTGTGCTCAGTAAAATAACGCCAAGTATTTTTGGCGATGTGTTTTGGCATCCAGATAAACATCTTTTCCTCTAAAACCTTTCATCCTGTCACACACATCACACATTTTGTCGATTATATACAAGGTGTTTTAGTTATGGTCAAAAGACCCTGAAAATTGTTCTTTTAGACAGTAAATTATTAATCGTAAATCAAAATTCGTACAAAAAATAGCTAACCCGTTCAAACATTGTTATAGGCCGTATCAAGGGCTACCATTTTTGTATTTACGGTTTTCGTCTATCACATACGCTGTTCGAGATATTTGAAAGAATGCAAATGCAAATCACTATTTTTCGCCGTCAATCTAGATGCGATGATCTCATTTACTATTACTATTAAAAATTCGTATACCAGGAAACTAAGGAGAGCCAGGGCTATAGCCTGTATTTCGAACATTGTTGAAATTACATACAGTGTACATCGGTTGTGGGCAAAAAATTCTAATACATACTTAAGTAAGTAAATATTGTTTAGTATCTTTCCTAACAAAACCCCAAATAATTAAATTCTAAGCAAAGTACGATCCTGTTCGGCCATATTCCATTCTTACAGCTTGCCCGGGTCTTTCCTTAATTCGTATCAGTTAGTCACTTTCTTATATCTACGAACATACTTTACCTTACACACCAGAATTTTTGAAACTGTTTTTCTTACGTCTCTCTTACGAGATCATCAGGAAGGTGAGTGATTGTTCGTCGACAGAAGTAAAATCGAAAAAACCTGGAGAGACCTCGCGTTTCCCTCGTTTCCGCTGCGTTTGCTCGATGTGCTTCCTTAATGAGTTTTCTTAGGGTATCATTACGCAACCATTAGAATAATTTTCCGAGATACCCGAGCACAATGTTAAATTGAACCGAAATTCAGCAAACTCCGTCTACCTCATCCATAGGAAGATAACATTGTTTTCATTTTAACGTGATGCAAATATTTTGATATGTTGCCAGTATTATTTTGGCGATACACTATACAGAGAATAATAAATTTCCGTATTCAAAAAAAAAGTCTTTGTAATATGTCGTTAAACATTACCTATAAAGTAAGAAATAGTTCTTTTTCTAACCGTTGCGATTTGGTTTTTGTTTTGATTTGTGAGAAACGTGACTTTTTCAAAGTCTTATTGCATATTGCTGTTACACTAATATAAAAAATACCAAAATGTCATTTTGAATTCAAACAATTCAAAAACGCTTACTGGTTTCTATTGCTGATTTCCAAAGAACGCTCAAAGGTAAAAGTGTGTCAAATTTGTTTAATTTACCAAATTATAGCATAATTGTTAAATTTTTAGTATTATTATATTATAATTTCAGACGCCAATGATTTCTGGCCCCCTCTGGGAAATATTTTCTTCGCCCGCCCCCACTCGTCCCTTGCCAAACTGCCTACATTTGCTTGACGACGATAGCAATTTTTTGAATGACTCATGCGGTTTCTTTTGGAAATAATAAAATAATTTTTTTTATTAACGATACCGTAGACGTGGACCGTTTCCTGCCAATAATATTTTTACATTCCAAGGGCGCAACGCTGCGATTCCGAAATTAAATAAAGACTAATAACATTACCTGCCAATACCCTTATCAAAAATGACAGAGGAAATGCCTCGATGACGTATATTGCTTACGCCTTAACCTCTTTCTCCTTGGCAAATTCAATTTTTCTTATTTCCTATGAAGCTTTTAGTAGTATTCCCCTTATATGAAATTAATTGAAGTATGAAATTAATTGAAGTGGTTCGCCGATGAAGGTCGAAACGGGAAAATTAATTTTAGTGCAGACCGTGGAGAGTTTCCCTCAGGAAACCCAATCATGGTTTACAACGTTACCTACAATAACTAAAAGCTATTACGAGAAAGCATTGGCAGTTGTTATCATTTTAAATAGGGCGAGATTTGTATTGAGTTAGTTTATTAATTTTATGGAAGTATATTCAATAGCATAATACGTCCGTCTTCTTCCTGAATTCCCCCGTTTGAAGTCAAATTGACGTACCTTCAGAAACCAAAATCATTTTTTCTAACTGTATTGAAGCCATGAAAAATTAATCAATTTTCTCAGGTACTGTGCTAAATGTAGGTAACGCAAAAAATACACGAAACGTACAATATCATTTATCAAAAAAAAATTAAAAAATCTGTTAGTTTGGGTTAGTTTTGCCTAAAATGACATCAGACCTATAAAAACGTGAAATCTTTGTTTTTGATATTTTTATAGGTTTTGTCATGCCATTTTAAGTGAAACATTTCACTCTTATTTTAAATTAAAATTATTTTGTGACAAATATTACTATATATTTCGTTTGTTTTTGTGTTTCCTGGATCGAGGCAGCATGCACTCAAAATACAGTGCTAATATTCAAAACTCTGGACCTAGGTAAGGTACTGCAGTCACTTAGTGAGTTACACAACTGCAACCGCTTCAAAGTTTAAACAAAATAACTTCGTCAAATGACGTGTACAGTTATTATTAATAATAACTAACTAATAGTTTACAGTTATCGTATAATTAAGTTCAAGATCACAAATAATATAATTCGCTAGCTCGTTGAATTAAGTATCACTTTTATAGCATTTATATACCAGTGTTGTAATTGATTTGATAGACCAATTTCTCTAGACAAAATTTATAGTATTTGATGACACAGTCTCTATTTGTTTCATACTTTAAGAATTTTCAAAGTTTTTTTTAAAACGACACACAGACAAACCAATCAAATATTATGCGCCCAAAATACACACTTAATTATCAATGATTCTGGTATTTGATTAAATAAATGTACATTTAAAGCACAGTGGAGACTTCAATATTACGACCGTAATGTATTATAGAAATGAAGCGAGGTGTCATTTAAAAAATTGATTGATCTAATGCCCACCCACTTCATTATAGTTTACAAATTATCTTTGATATCATTGGTTTCTATGTAATGTGTATGTTCGTAGAAGCACATAAATTTGTTATATATATATTTTAAGCGTGGATGTTGCAGATTTGTTATACTGGAATCACTAAGTATACCTGCCATCTACCACTAACAAAGAAACAAAATATATTTAAGAAGATATCAGAATAAGCCACTCTCGGTTCATTTAGTGGTGTAATAATAATAGTAATAATAATAACAATAAAGCAAATGAATTAAATTCGACAGTTCACATTACAACCATTAAACTAACATTTAAATTTTTCATAAAAGGCAATAGTTCAAAGAAATAATAAAACCAAAAATTGACCCTTCTATAAAAACTTGTTATAAATAATTAAATAAAATACTTTTTTTTGAAGCATAATTTAATTGAAAAACATGTTTCATTATTTCCAAAAGTAGCTTCAATTGCAGAAAATAGACTTTTAACCTGTGTAACACTATTTTCAGCGCAAATTTATATCAACAACGAATTTACTTTTTAAATAAAATTTATTGTTAAAATGAATATATTTGTTTCAGTCAATAACTTTATACGAAGACGATACAACAATATTTGTTTTGTGTAGATATTTTAACATATATTTGATGTATAAATATGCTGCGTGTAATCACATTCATCTGTGGTGTAAAGTACGCAACTACATCAGCCTGGTGATTGTTTAATGCGAGCATATAGATGCGACCGCGGACATGTTTTAAATCGCCCCCACGAAAATTGCCAATTGCCAAAAAAGAGCCGTTCGAAAAACCGTAAATATGTCCGCTCTGAAATATGGAAAAGCATTCCCGCAAATACGTTCGAAAGTTTTATAAAATTTAAAATTGGAAAATTTCACCACGCGTTCAATAAATCTTTTTTCGATGTTTTCTGTACGTGACGTTAAAAACAGATTTATATTGTTTACAAGAAA